AATTTCCAATACGCTGATACTGCCGACCCCAGCCGTGCTGGGAAATCCCCGTTCCCAACTCTCACCTCTCCGCATCCCTGTTCTTGAGGATTCCGTTGAGCGGCGGTTCCTTGGGTTTCTCGTTGTAGTTGTAGTCGCTGCCGGCGTTGTTCTTACGCGGAGGAACAACACCCAGCGTGTTCTTCGTGAGGTCCGGCTCGTAGGAGAGAACGGCGGAACATGCCGGAGTGTAGCCGTTCGTCTTCGGAACCTTCACGCCGTTCGTGTAATGTTCCTCATCCATGTCTGCCAGAGGGAACAACAGCATCATCATCATCATCATCATCATCATCATCATCAGCAGCAGCAGCAGCATTATCATCATCATCATCACCATCATTGTCAGCATCATCATCATCGTAGTCATCGTCGTCATCACCAATCTTCAATCAATACATCATCATCATCAGTATCAACATAATCATCATCAGCATCGTCATCACAATCCTCATCATCATCATCATGTTTACGATGTTTCGTTCTGTCATGAGAGAGACAATAGATGGCAGCACTCACCGCCGCGCGCCTTGCGTCGCAGGCAGCAGACGATCAGGATGACGACGACGATAAACACAAGAGCAGACGCACCGAGACCGATGTATAGAAGTAACTCCTTGCCCGGCGGCCAGTACGCAACATCTGAAATGAACACATACAGGGTGCGAAATTAACGCGAGTCCGGAGACAAATAACTCCCCGATTTACTGTCCGACTCCCTGATTTGACATATATGCAGGAGTGCGTGTGACTCCCTGAAAATTCTGCCATACTAACTAGTTCGTTCCGGAGCACGGCCTCGCGGAATTACCGTATTTTCCCAGCAAATGTCCAAAGAAAATTTGGCAGACGTGCAACCGCATGAATCTTCCAAATAAGCACATTAATATCCATAGTATAGACATTAATATCCCTAATAATATGCAAAATTGAAATATAAAATGAATAATATGAAATGAAAGTATAGACATTAATATCCCTAATAATATGAAAAATTTAAATACGAAATGAATAATATGAAATGTAAATATAGAGTATGAGTATGGTGGTTCCCTGTCCTCCCTCCCGTCACTCTATCCCTCTTCCATTCATTTTCATTTTTTTAATTCACAACATATGATATGAGAAAGCGAGAGAGAGAGAGAGAGAGAAAGACATGACGAATGAAAGTATAGATATGATTCCGTCTTGCTACAGTTCCCCAGTCACTCGATCCCGCTTTAGTTCCCTCTTCTGTCTTCTTCCTTTTTCCCTCTCTCTGTTCATCTCACTCACACAGTCACACTGTCTTTCACCTTCTCATTCTCTTTCTCGTTTTTCTTTCCGCTCCTTCTCTCTCTCTCACTCGCTCTTTTCCTCCTATCCTCCCATCTCGCTTCTCGCCCTTCTCCACTTCCTTTTCTTCCTCTCTCCGTCTTCTCCCATTCCCTACCTCTCCTTCCCTCCCTCTCCCCCTCTCCCCTTCTCCTACCCCCTCTCCTACTCCCCCTCGCTTTCTCCATCCCATCATGACATGATCAGGTAATAACATCATGACATGATCAGGTAATAACATGTTGACATGATGCGGCATGGAAGAATGGTAACCTGCACTCAAACAATACACTTCCTTGCATGCCACGATTGCACCACAATGTCACAATGCATATCACACACTCCACACAACAATCGCTCGCTCACTCGCCTCCCGGGCTCGTGGCGCTGACGCCTGCAATGCAACGACACGGAACGATGATGACATGACGGCATGATAGCCTTGCACTCTTTAATTGCAGCACATTGCACTCAACAATTGCAGCACATTGCACTCAACAATTGCACCACATTGCACTCAACAATTGCACCACATTACACTCAACAATTGCCCCACATTGCACTCTACAATTGCACCAAATTGCACTCCACAACCCTCAGCATTAGATTGCTTAGCATTCAATCTTCATTCTGCCACCGAACATCATTCACTCATTCATTCATTCATTCATTCATTCGATCATTCATCGATCATTCATTCTCGCACGCTCGCTCACCGGAGCCGGGCAGGGAGAGCCTGGCGCCCTCTGGCGTCACGTTCTGCAGCTGTATGTCGGCAGGGTCGACGCTGGCGGGCACGGCAAACTGCAGCACACCCGACCCGGGCCGAGAGTCCGACGCGCAGGACGACGCGCGGCGCGACGCGGCGAGCGAGGCTGTCGATCGAGACCTGCCCTCCTCTTCGTCTACCTCTTCGCGAGCGAGCTTCTCCGCAGAGTCGGCGCACGGAGACGCGATCGTCACGCGCCTGAAACAAGAGAACGTCAGTGTTAAATAGTGGCGCCGCCTAGGAGGAGTGAATCGGCAGTGCCGCGTGCGGGTGCGAAAGTGAGTTTATTGGCAGCATCATGTCATCATCACACCAATGTATACCATTATTACCTCCGTCAAGGAGGTTGTTTTCGCCCCTGTCAGTTTGTTGGTTTGTTTGTTTGTCTGTCAACAGGATATCTCAAAAGTTTTTTGGACGGGTTGGGCTTGGGCCAAGAACCAATCGTTTAGAGTTTGGTGGTGATCCGGATCCAGATCTGGATCCACGAATTTTTTGAAGGATTTCTCATCATTGATGCTAGTGTAGCGGTTTACTCTCTAACCGCTTCGCTTCGTTTCGCTTTCGCCTTCTCTCTCTGTCGGGGTTTATGAGTCACCGCCGCATTAAACCCGACTACAAATTAGATCGATAGCTATAATAGATATATGGGAGGGACCGTTAAGCTGTGGCAGAGGTTTGCTATCTCCGATTACTCTTGTTATATATATAATATTCACCCCTGATATATGTTTTTACAATATCATATCAGTATGTTATGTTCATACTGCTGATACTGCCACCCCAGCCGTGCTGGGAAATCCCCGTTCCCAACTCTCACCTCTCCGCATCCCCGTTCCCAACTCTCACCTCTCCGCATCCCC